TGAACGTTTCTTTGCTGTTTCTTTCACCTTCCAAATAAACAGCCTGCACTAGATTCTTCAGGTCTCATGTTGTCTTTTTCCATTTTTCCTTTCTTTAGTCCTTCCTGCCCTTGAAAGGACACCGATCTATCTTTCCTTTGTTGCATATTCCTCTCCTATCTTCAGTCCCTGTGCGGTACCACTACCTAAGGCTTTACAGATAGGCCTAAGTAGGGAATCGAGAAAAACCCCAAACCAAGCCCTGGAGCACTTACCAGTTTAAAAGATGAGAAAAGGGGCGCCTGGGTGGCTCAGTCGTTAAGCGTCTGCCTTCGGCTCAGGTCATGATCCCAGGATCCCGAGATGGAGCCCCACATCGGGCTCCCTACTCAGCGGGAAGCCTGCTTCTCCCTCTCCCACTCCCCCTGCTTGTGTTCCCTCTCTCGCTGTGTCTCTCTCTGTCAAATAAATAAATAAAATCTTAAAAAAAAATTTTAAAAAATAAAAAAATAAAAGATGAGAAAAAATGTGACCTAAGTAGGGTTGTCAGATAAAATGTAAGATCTCTAGTTAAATTTGAAATTTGGATTAAAAATGGTTTATTTTCAGTGTAAGTATGCCTAACGCCATGTTTTCATTTGTTGTATTTGCAATATTTGTTGTTGATCTGAAATTCAAATTTGGCTGGGAATTCTGTATTTTAATTTGCTAATTCTGGTCAACACTATACATAAGCCCAAGGAGTGGGTTGCCTAGAAAAATGGAGACAAATATGTATAGGTTGCAAAAATTCTTTCAGTGAGAAGGCAGCTTTATCCTGACCACCCCCCCTGAAGTATGTTCTCACCACCCCTCTGCACACCTATCAGTTGACCTACCCATTCCTCAGTCCCTTGTTTCTTCATCAAATTTAGTCAAGTATTTAGGTGCCCAAGTAATATTTTCCAAATGACTGAAAGGCCTCAGGAAAGTCATTGTGTTTATGGAATGGCTTCCCGCTACTTTAGGCTCTGGCCTCACGAAGTCACAGACAACTGCCTGAATGAAGCAGGTGCATAGCCACTGAGGGGTCTGCCAAGTCAGTTTGCTAGAAAAAGAAACTTCATAGCACAAACTTCTAAATCCAGGCTGCCACTGCAAGTGGAATAAAATAGTACAAAACTGAAGTGTATGTACTTTTTTTTATAGTATTTTTTTTGGCGTTCTAATTCTTTTTAAAAATTTTTTAAATTTTTTTATTATTTTTTCTGTTAACATATCATGTATTGTTTCAGGGGTACAGGTCTGTGATTCATCATTCTTACACAATTCACAGCGCTCACCATAGCACATACCCTCCCCAATGTCCATCATCCAGCCACCCCATCCCTCCCCCACCACCATTTCAGCAACCCTCAGTTTGTTTCCTGAGATTAAGAGAAGCATATGCACTTATGTACCAATATGCTTTATCCAGTAGTGAACTTCTCCACCTTTATTCATTTCTCAAGGCAACTGGGGATCTGGTGGGGAACAAGCACTCCATAAATGCAGTGCAGTGGTTGCTGGAGGTGAGAATGGCCAAGGAAATGTTGCCAGGCAACAAACTCAAGCCCAGACCCTATTTAGATGTGACTCACTAGACACTGGTCAGGTTTGTTGCCTGGCAACATTCTCTTTACCAATCTCACTCCAGCACCTGTTGCGCCGCCATATTCTTGGTTACCACATCCAAAGCAGTTGGATTCCAAATTTCACAAAATATTGCTATTAATAATATAATTGTTTTATATTTTCTATTTTGTATCTAAAACATTTAAATACTCATCCTGAAGTAACTCATCTCAAAATCAAATACTAGAAACATGAGTAAAATGAGGAAAAGGGTTTAAAATATACAGTACATCCTGAAAAAATCTGAAAACACTTCCTTAAAGAAGAGTTAGTGAAATAAATAGAAGAAACATTCAGCCATGAGATTCCTAGAAAACTATTTATATAAAAAGTAATTTGTAGGGCGCCTGGGTGGCTCAGTCGTTAAGCGTCTGCCTTCGGCTCAGGTCATGATCCCAGGGTCCTGGGATCGAGCCCCACATCGGGCTCCTTGCTCAGCGGGAAGCCTGCTTCTCCCTCTCCCACTCCCCCTGCTTGTGTTCCCTCTCTATGTCTCTCTCTGTCAAATAAATAAATAAAATCTTAAAAAAAAAGTAATTTGTAAGGTTCTGTGTCCCTCCCTTCCCACCTAACAGGAACTGATACCCATTTATTGTCAAGGAAGAACCATTAACCCACAACCTTCAGCCATGTTTATGAAAATGGGAAGAACCCATAGGCAGGGATCAGAGGATTAGGGAAACAGGTGGATCTGGTGTTTTGTAAGGACTGTAGCTCTGTAGGTACACACAGAACTTAACTTTCTTCTCTCATTCCCTTAAACTCTCTGAGACTTTTAATTCCCCACACCTGGATAGTCTGGGGCCGGTCTCATAGCTTTTGTAGTTCTTTTCAGTAATTTAGGAATAGTCTCATTTCAGAAATTATTAAGTCCAGCATAATCTCAAAACTCCAAACTCTTCTATTCAAACTTAAACCTCAGTTTAAAACCACTACCCTCTCCAGCCTGTACTATTCCAGACCTGGTAGCGTATAGAAAATGGGATGTGCTGTTTTTTTCTGACACCCCCCACCCCCGCCCCGCCATGAGGGAGAGAAAACTGAAGAAAAATAAGCACAGCTGTGTGCTGCTGATGGCTTCATTACTGAGTGGTTTTGTGGGTTTTTTTGTTTTTTGGGGTTTTTTTTTTTTTTTTTTTAGAAATCACCTTATTTAACTGTTTCTTACTTCCATTCAGAGATATTTCTCTTGAGCTGGAAGATACTTTTCTTACTTTTCATTTTTGGGGGTCATTGCCTAGAGTCCTCTTGGATACTATTCTTAAAAAATGTGGCTAAATATACATAATATAAAATTTCCTGTTTTAACTGTTTTGAAGTGTACGGTTTAGTAGTGTTAAGTACATTCACATTGTTGTGCAACCAGTCTCCGGAACTCTTCTCGAGTTGCAAAACTGAAACTTTATAACCCTTAAACAAAAAGTCCTCTTACCCCCAGTCCCTGGCAACTATCATTCTACTTTTGTCTCTATGAATTTGACTAGTCAGGACCCTCATATAAGTGGAGTTGTGCAGTGTTTGTTTTTTCATGACTGGTTTATTTCACTTAGCATTATGTCGTCAAGGTTCACCCATGTTGTCAGAATTTTCTGCCTTTTTAAAGCTGAGGAATATTCCATTGTATGTACAGATCACATTTTCTTCATTCATCCATCAGTGGATCCTTAGGATGCTTTCACCTCTTGGCTATTGTGAATAGTGCTGTTATGAACATGAGGTTTATAAATATCTCTTCAAAATCCTGCATTTAATTTTTTGAGAGTGTGTACCCAGAAATAGAATAACTGGATCATACAACAATCCGATGTTTAATTTTTTGAGGAACCAGCATACTGTTTTCCAGAGCAGCTGCACCATTTTACATTCCCACCAATACTTAGCATAGTGTCTGCATTGTAGCAATGAATCCTCAATACGCCCTAATCATCAGATTGAGTAGACAAAAATAAGCATAGGTAGGAAATACACACACACACACACACACTCCATTATGGGAGCTCTACCCCCATCATCTCATCTAAACCCAATTACCTCTCAAAGGTCTCATCTTCTCATACCATCACTTTGGGGGGGTTTCAACATATGAATTTTGTAAGTACACAGAGAGCCCATAACATATATGTACATGATGTATGTTTATATATGTGTGTGTATATATTTTTATTTTTATTTTTATTTTTACATGTACCTTTGCAAGAGAATGCATGTATGTGTTGGGGGTGATTGTGCATTATTTTTCCTGGTCTGATCGCACAAATTTCATTTGCCCTGGTTCAATTAAATGACACCATGCTCCAGCTACATGTCTCAAATTTTAGTTTTACAGTATACTTATGCATATTTATAATATACTTACAGTATATTTACTCTGTATAAAATACAAACTTCACTGCTAGTTTTTCGGCCTATAGGTCACTATATATAAAGCAGATATGCATTGTGATCAATGACCAGTCATGTCACGTTCTTGTAAGTCTGTCAATGATTGATTCGTGTGCATCTGTCTTTAGTTAGCACATAGACAATTAAATGTAAAGTTATGTTACCTCTTCATCTCACAGTAATAAATTCATGTGATATTTTACAAAAATAAGTAATCAAAAGAGGGAACTGGTCAATAATGATTAAGATGCAACAAAGAAACAAAAAGTGGTAATGCTGAAGGTCAACGTCAGATAGAAAACAGACAAGTAGGGGGGCGCCTGGGTGGCTCAAATGGTTAAGCATCTGCCTTCTGCTCAGGTCATGGTCTCAGGGTCCTGGGATCAAACCCCACGTCAGGCTCCTAGCTCATCAGGGAGTCTGCTTTTCCCTCTCCCTCTGCCTCTTCCCATGCTTGTGCTCTCTCTGTCGGTCTGTCTCTCTCAAATGAATAAATAAAATCTTAAAAAAAAAGAAAGAAAGAAAATAGACAAGTAGAAAGAAATAGCTGATCATGAGTATATTGATACTTCTACTTTTGAAGAGACTCTAGATATGCAGCCAGAGGAATTTTGAAGGCAATCATCAACAAAAATAAGGGACGTGGTTGTGATGAAAAGGATGGCGATGTCCCAGAGAAGTTATATCCACAAAAAATTATTACATATAAGGGATTCTCAGAGATATTTCATGACATTCCAAATGCAAAAAATAAAATGTTGAAAGCCCATTCAAACTTAGAAGTATGAAAGTTTGAGAAGGCATAAAAAAGATACTAGCTCCCAAAATGAGGAGTATGGGCCTCTCTCTACTCGGCTTTGAGCAGTTGGCAGGTGGGACGTAAGGAGCCAATCAGAGACTGAATTCTCAGAGTCGTCTCTGTGGTCCAGCCAATCCCAGGCTGTTGAGCCCACACCCCTGGGACAAGGGTAGCCGTGGGTGCTTGCCTGGAAGCCGTTACTGTTCCAGCCTCGTAACAGAAGAGCCTTGTCCATGAGCTTTGGAGATGGAGGGCGAAGGGATTGAGAATAGGGATGGGATGGAGGCTGTGGAGCAGAATGTCAAGAGGCCAGGTAAGGAGGGGCACAGAGATTGTCATTGGGTACAGAAACTAAGCCTCCCGTGACTATCCTAGCATCCTTTCTTGATCCCAGTTTGCGTCCTCAGCACTTTTGTTTTTAATTGTCCATAATATGCCCTTAAATAAAAGCAGTATTCATTTATAAAACAAAGACTTCAAAGAAATGGTGGATCCACCCCTCTCCACCAGATTTTTCCCCCTTGGAAGAAGCAGCAATAAAAAAGCCTCGGGATGAAGTTTGGTTTTCTATTCTGGGCCCAAGGTAAGAAAACTGAGTAAGTCAAATAGTTGTCAGAAATGGCACTAAAAAGTGGAGCCACAGCACGTTTGAGACTCTTGCTGCTGAGAAGTTAGCTATGAGTACCCTTTCTCACTTTCCCGATATTAATTGCTGTGTTGTGAAGAGTTGCACATATAGAAGATAGAGAAAAAGGTAAATCTTATTTGAGTTTTCAGTTTGTTTGCTTGTTGTTTTTTCTCTAGAATATAAACAATGACATGCATCTTCCTTAGGTATAGTAACGAAGAAAATGCTAGTCATGTCAAGTATGATATGTGGAGGCATCGCTTTTCTTCTTTGGGCAATGTTAGGATTTCCTAGGAAATGTAAGTAACCAATTTCTGCTTAAAATATGTTAATTGTATTATCGTTGCTTCAGTCTGATACCAATGACTAGCCTGTTCTTCCCTAACATTGAATAATTAGAATCAGAAAGCATTCTCCCCGCCAGAGCATCTAATTCCTTTACAAAGCTAGTCACCTGCTTTGCCTTCTAGAAAGATTAATCTTTTTAAAGTTTATTTATTAAAGTAATCTCTACACCCAAGGTGGGACTCAAACTCATAACCCTGAGATGAAGGGTTGCATGCTTTACCGACTGAGCAAGCCAGGCGCCCCGTAGAAAGATTATTCTTTTAATATCTATTAAACTTCGGGTATAGTACTAGGTGATGATGCTACCAAAATGAAAAAAAAAAAAAAAAAAGAGGGGGGATTTTTGGCCTGAAAAGAATCAATCTTTGACAGAAGAAACAAGCATGTAAGCAAACAGTAACAAAAAAATAATTGCTAAATAGAAGTATGTTCAATTTGAAGAGGAAGAGGAGATTATAAGTCTGCTTTTGGTAGTCAAGCAAAACTTTGTGAAGAGAAAGGTATTTGTGCTGAACCTTAAGGTCAAGCAGACGTTTGTGAGAGAGTGCCTTAGATGAAAGAAAGAACAGGAGTGTCAGAGAATCACAGCAGGTCTAAATGTGATAGAGGGCAAAAGAAGTGGGGTGGGGACTAGCACGTGTATCACCTTTCCCTAGTGCATTAACTCTTTTACTCCCACAGATGATTATTTTATACTTTCTCCTTTTTCTCCAGAACTTTAATGCCTCGTTCTTCATCTTCACTCTCAGGTCTATTTTTGTTTTCAACTTTACCTCATAAATTATAACAATTACTAGAAAACTTCTAAATATTCTTATGACCACATCTACTTTCTTACCTCTCTCTCTCCCCATAATATACTCTGTCTAGGATCCTGGTACTGTAGATAGAGTATTCATGTTCTGCACTAGTTTCTATAGCCTCTCACCCGATCAGTTATATGACTATAATAATATTCCTCTCTCTCCCCTACATTATGGTTTTCCCATTCTCAACTGAAACATCCCCATCAGCGTACATAATGGTGATATCTCTCCTACCTTAAAAAAAAAAATTGATTAGCCCTGACTCTTTCTTTAGCTACCAATTTCTTTTTTCTTCTCTTACAGCAACCTCCTTGAAAAAAATTTTTTTGCTAAGTTTTTCTAATTTCTATCTTCCCATTTTCTGCTAATCTACTCTGATCAGGCTCCACTTCCTTTTTCTTTTACCTAATTTGTCTTTCAAGTTTATTGGCAACTTCCGTATTGCTAAATCCAGTCCATTCTCAGTTTTCATCTTACTTAACATCTTGGCAGCATTCAGCAGTCTCTCCCCTGGAAATAATTTCTTCATTTGTCTTCCAAGACACCATTCTCCCATGGTTTGCTTTCTACCTAACTTGTTCCTTCTTCCAGCTTTCCTTTTCTTATTCTTTCTTTTCTCCCTGATGTCTTAACTTTGGGGTGCCCTGGAGCTCAGTCCCTGAGCAGGTCCCTTCTTTATCTACCCTTGGCAATCTGAACCATGCTTACAACTTTGTCACATAAATTCTGATGACCTCCAAATACACATCTCCAATCTGGCTCTCTTCTCTGAATTCCAAATTTTTAAATCCACCTAGTGGACTGTCTAATAAACTTCTCAAACATAACATTGTCCAAGCTGAAGTCTTAGTCTGGCTCTCTCGTATAACCCCTTCTATCTGTGGTCTTCCGTATGTCAGGAAATAGCGACTTTGTCTCCCCAATTTTCAAACCAACCTTAGAGTCATATTTGATCTTTTCTTTTTCTGAGTTGACCTTTGAAGTTAAATCATTTGAATTGAATATGGAAGTAAAATACATTTTCCCAATCTGAAATATATCTTTTACCCTAAAGGTAAGACTCTTCCTTTCTCTTACACTTTCTTCATTTTTTTTTCTACCACTGTGTTAATTTTAGTTAAAAATCCAAGGATATTTAAAGACAATACATGCTCTGAGGATGAAACTATATGTCCACAAGGCTGGAACCAAATCAATAATAATTGCTTCTTTCAAGCTGAACATGAAAAAACTTGGATAGATGGCCAAGCAAACTGCATAGCCTATCGTGGATCTCTGGCCGTATTCAACTCCAAGAATGAAGTGGTTAAATTTCTCCTTTGCAATATAAATCGCATTTAATTTATTGAGTAGCTGTTATATGACAGGTATGCTTCAAGGGTGTGGTATATCAACCAACCGAACAAAGATCTTTGCCTTTATAGAGCTTACACCCCAGAGGAAGAGACAGGGAATGAAAAGTAATCATAACAAATATGTAAATTATATAGTATATTAAAAGTTAGTAAATTCTGATATACATATATGTGATTTATGTATATATGTGTATCTGATATAGATATGCATGATATAGATGATATAGATATGCATAAGAGATATTCTGAGTGTTCTAAGTGGGTAAGCTGCAAGTAAACAAAAGTCTTAGTGAGATGAAGATACTGAGAAAAACCGTAGAGTAGAAAAGAGAGTTAGAGGACTATCTGGGGGATAAGATTCCCAGGAAGAAGAAACATCTGGAACATGGACCTTACGGTAGGTATATGCCTGGTATTCAAGGAACAACAACAACAAAAAATCAGCCAATGTGCCTAGAAGGAGGGAGTGAGTGAAAAATGCGGCTGATTAGGGTCTTGGAGGCTATAGTAAATACTTTGGTTTTCCTCCAAGTAAAATAGGGAAATATTGCAGAACTATGAACAAAAGTGAGACATGATCTGACTTAAGCTTTAAAAGAATCATTTTCTTTGCTGTGATGAGCTAGTGAGTGGCAAATATAAAAGTAGAGTGCCATGTTACAGGCTATTGCAATAACCCAGCAAGAGATTAATGGGCCAAAAGAAGGACCACAGCACTGGAGGTAATGAGAATGAGAAAACTAGGAGAGATCCATTACAGCATGCTGTGTTTCATAAAAGGAATCTTTGATGCCCTATCTGGGACCTTCTTCATATTGGATTGGACTAACGAAGCCAAATGCAAGTGCACCCTTGCACCCTGATGTGGGCAAATGGAGATGCATTCGATAATTGGTAAGCCTTAATAACATTTATTATTAAATGTGTTAAGCATGGTAAGGATTCTAAGTCTATAATCAGCTACCCCTATAGTTTCCTCCCCATTATCTCCCCCAAAGACTGTCAATATATATAGATACCAAAGAGAATCTTCAGACAAATATATAGCCCTTAGTGAGGGTTTGGCATCTACTTCTATATGGTAAGTTGGACTGTATATACCACATGAGTACCTCAAGTGTTCTTTTTATCTGAGACTATATAAAAATCTAATTAGTTTGATCCTTGTCTCTTTCCACTTGGGGTTTTGCCTCTACTTGTTTGTTTGTTGTTGCTTTGGAATGTCATTTATAGGGGAGTCTGACAAAGTGTACTCAAGCTTACACTTACCACACACACTGGTGGCCTGATACGGAAGGGAATGAGTGAGAAAGAGAAAATGTAGGCTCTAGGTGATCTTTATTTAAAATTTGCAAACTTCTCTATGTTCCTTAGCTTGAAGAACTGATTATACCCCTCCACTCCATTTTTGTTTTTGAAACATTTGACTTTTTCCAACTTCAGAGAGGAGAAAGGAAAAGAAAGAATATTGAGTTTCCTGTGAAGGGAACTTCTAGCTACAATTTATTTAGCATCTACTAATTCTGTGCTAGATATTATATGAGGCATATGACCTGCTAAAGAAATAGTAGGACTTTCTAAAAATAGACTTCTGTTATCATTGTCTTTTTATCCAATTTGGGGTGAAAATACACAATGATTTAAGGATAATAATATAACCAATTTTGAAAAATGTAAGAAAAAGTATGACATAAATTAAACTTTCTGACTGCCAAACCTAATACATATTTTTTATATATTTATTATATATTTTCCTTAGAGAAAATATTGGCAGTTTAATAGGATATTATATATTATATATAGTCCCACTTAAAAATAAAAAATGAGGAAGAAGCAAAAACTAGAAGTTGGTTAAAGATGGTGTATTAGTTTGCTAAGGCTACTGTAGCAAATATCACAGACTAGGCAGTGTAAACAACAGTTCTAGAGACCAGAAATCCCAGATCAAGGTGTCAGGAGGGTTGATTTCTCTGAGTCCTCTCTCCTTGGTTTGTAGATGGTCATCTTCTCCTTCTGTTTCTTCACATGGTCTTCCCTCTGTGCACATGCCTATCTTGTTCAAATTCCTTCTTGTGAGGACACCAATAATATTGGATTAGGGCCCTAAAGACCTCATTTTAACTTAATCACCTCTTTAAATACTTCATCTCTTAATATGGTTATATTCTGAGCTACTAGGGGTTAGATCTTAAACATCTGAATTTTGGGGGGACATAAATAAGCCCATCACAGTTGGCACTAGGGTAGACACAGAAATGGGCATATATTTTGGAAATGCACAGGATAAAATTTTGAAGGTACCCTAAAAGTTGGGAAAGTGTACACCAGTGCTACAAAGTTCCCCAAAAATGAAGTGCTAAAAGCATTTTAATTGTCATCTAACCAGAAATCCATTGTAACTCAACATTCTATTTTTCTTTTCCTCATTTTGAATTTTCAATTTCATATGTTTTATATGACCTAAAAAAGGAATTTAGAAAATCCTTTCTGGATATTTTATTTATGATTATTTACATGTTTCTTAGTTCATCAAGTGAAGAATACCTATTTCAGTATTACTATACCAATGGTTTCAAAATATGGATGAGTTAACATCTACATCAGCCTTTAGACCAATTTTTTAAATGTGTGTGGTGGGGGGGGTAAGTGAGGGTCAATAAAATTTCAGTTATACTCTCCCTGTATATGATCTTTAATGGCTCAATATATTTATTTTCTTATTTTTATTCTTATGTATAAAAGGAAGAATCCAATCCTTCACAAAGTGATTTTTCAATGTTTACTACAGTATAAAACAACATCAAATTCCAGAATTCTTTGTTACTGCAGTGAAGTTCCTTGGTGTTCGTTTCTTCCCACACCACCATCCTGAAGTTTGCAGGCTGAAGAGGAGAGAAGCAGTTCATTTCACTCCCTCTACTACTTTTTCATTGCACATTTCAAAACATGATCACAAAAGTTACATGTTTTAGGCTGTGCATAGCTATTTTTCATGAGGTTCAGTAAATAATTAACCTCCTTATTTTGCTCCAGGTTTAATATTGAAGGAAATGGAACATGTGCCTTCATGTTTAAGAAGGGCATAAGCAGTGCCAGTTGTGATGATGCAATAAATTATATACGCAGCAGAGAATCCCTTTGTCCTTAAAGGGTCCCTCATAATAAAGTAAGTAAAGTAATTAAAGAAAGACTATATTTTTTTGTGCATTATAAATTCATATGGATACATTTTCCTTCCCATCAACCATATGTTTTAAGTTGCTCGATAAAATTTTAAGTGACTTCTATCTTCATTTAAATAACTTATCTAAGAATTCAACTAAACTGAATTTTTACATGATGTTGCTCAGCCACATAAATTGGTGTGTCTAAGCCTAAGGGTGTAATAGTGGCCTTGTTAACAACTGATTCAACAGCATGCTCAGTGGAAGAGATTGGAGGGTAAAGAGAAAGGAGTGAAAGATTCCTCTATCTGAAATTGAATTAAATCTGCCTGCAAGAGATGAGAGATGAAGCATGAGGTGAGCACTGTGTCTTCCACTCAGCCTCCAGTGGTATGTAGCTCATTTAGAATTTGGAAGGAAGGCCATGGGAGAAGTATTCAGAGATTAATTAGGATTTCTTACTTTGCATCACCATCAAAGACCAAATCCCCTGAAAAAAATTTGTACAATATTTCACAGTTTCCTAGATCTTTTTTCAAGCTACTGAGCTTAAGAATTACATTACATGGATTTGTTGTTGTTGAAACCACTGAAGGAATCAGGCTTTGGGATGTGAGTCATGGTGAGCAAAATATGAGTATTTAGAGAAGAAGCAGAGTGTGAGGAAAGAAGCCCTGGTAACTTGAAGAAATCATGAAGATTTCTCTGGTCTTTCACAAAGCCGTGGGATTTAGATCCCAGATCACATTTAAATAGGAATCCAAGGGACCAACCGAGGGTGAGGGTCTACATCTAGTTTTCATTAAAAATCTGTGCACATTTTAATATTTAATATTTTAGGCTACATTTGTACATTTACAAACATTCTCTTTTGAAAATATTTCATCTCAATTTTTCTTAAATAATGAGCAAATGAAAGATTATTTTAGAATTTTTGCATCCGTATTCATCAAGGATATTGGTCTGTATTTTTCTCCTTTTTGATGGGGTCTTTGTCTGGTTTGGGGATCAAGGTAATGACGGCCTCATAAAATGAGTTTGGAAGTTTTCCTTCCATTTCTATTTTTTGGAACAGTTTCAGAAGAATAGGTATTAATTCTTCTTGAAATGTTTG